GGGGTTATTAATTTGGGTGTTTAAAAACAAAAAAAAATCTGGTTGTTTCACAAACCATATTTTAGTATGGTTTAAATAGATTTCTTAAATGTATATAGTAAACAAAACATATTAAATTTGAAATTAACCGAGAAAAAAGAAAAAAATCTCAAAAATTAAGATAATGGTCCGTTTTGGGACCATGTGGCAGAATTTTGCGTTAGCTTAATTTTTTTGGTTATCCAAATTTTACATTAATTAACAACTAAGATTATTTTTTGTTAAACTTAGTTTCATGAATGATATGTAAATTAACCGTTCATTTAATTTACAAGAGGACAAATTCTCAACGACTATTCCAATATGATTTTCCAAGATTTTATGCTAGAGATCTAACATATGCATTTAGGTTGTTACAATTGTTAGGACTTAGAAATTCATTCTAGGATTTAAAGTCCAACTCAAAGAATTTGATGGTGTAGAGTTTTACGTGCTCGTATTTGCATTTAGGCTTTGTTAGTTGAGTTTAAGATTTTCCATGTTTATGTAATTTGTGAGATTGTAGACTGCCATGTTAGGGTTTAATGTTCCTAAATTTTCAGACAACTTGATGATATAGTGTAAATTAATAGTTTTAACTGTTTGCTTAAAAAAAATTAATATAAGCTATAAATAAATAAAAACATTTGCGGTAATAAAAAATGATAAATGACCGTATTAGAAGAATAGGATAACAATAATAATAAAAAAATCAAAATATCAGAAACAATAAACTTAATTATCTTCAAGATAAATAAATAAATATATAATATAACGACTACTTATAAAATTGGAATACAAATTTTAAAACTACATTTAAAAAAAAACTTTAAAACTACATTTAAAAATTCAAAATTGAATTTAAATTTAAAATCATTAATATGATATAAAATAGCAACATGTTCGTCAAATTTTTAATAATGTTTAGATTTTGTGACAATCTAAAATCTAAATATGCTTCCAAAATTTTTATGTAAACTATATTAAAGTTATTTAACAATGCAATCAAATAACTTAGAACAGAAATTACATAAATTTTGTTCTAAAATGACGCTAAATCATATATATAAACTGTATTTTGAATAAAAATTATTGACTAAATTATTTTTCGACCCTAAATTAGGTGTTATTAATTTAAATAAATTATTAGTTTGTAGGCGACAAAAATAAAATAAAAATTGGTTTATCTTGAAGGTACAGATTCAAATTACGATCTTAATATATTTATTTTGTAATTATTATCCCGCGTGTTGCGCGGGTACCTGCCTAATTATTTTCTTTATTTTTATCTTATTATAATTGTAGGTTCAATTTTGTCATATTTTTAATTATCTCTGTTACTTACCTAAATATATTTTGGACTTTTTTTTTTGTCAACAAGCTTAATTCATTCATTTAACTGATCAAAGTACAAACATGAGGGAATTAAACATCCTCCAAATTTACTAGAATATAAAGCAAAAAAATATATGATAGATAGGTCATCACAAAAGATGGATAACAAATCCAATGCATGCCTCAGATGCGTCAAGAGGGTCTTCGTGGCAAAGTCGCAGAGTCTTAGGTTGGTCACTTTCCAGTGTGACTTGGAAGATCCCGACATAGAGCTCGGAGATTCGACTGCTCTCCAAGAGAGGGAATAAGATTCAACCAGTCTCAAAGAGCTGGGAGAAGGTGGAATTGAACTCGTCCACCAGGAGTAAATTACAGAGTTTGGGAACCCATAAAACTTTTGTCTTCGCACAGTAGAAGAGATATAATCACTAAAAATTACAGGATTTGAAAATCCAGAAAACTTTGTTCTTCTCAAGGAAGAGAAGCAAAAGAGCTCAAAAACATATAAGATTTTTGAAAATCTCCGTTTTGAAAACACGGGTAACGGACCCGATAATGAAACACTCAGGATCCACCCAAATTCGTCCACCCATCACGATGTATGGTTGAGATAAACTGTGAACATGAGCATCATATATGTTTTATAAGTAACATCGGAGAGTGAGGCGGCGGTGTGCCGGAGGCATCATCAATTGCCAGAGAGAATTTCCGGTACGATTTAGATCTTAGCCGCATAGAAAAATTATCTGTTTGGATTGGGCTGGCTAATGGGCCAGGATAAATTAAATGTGCAGCCCAACTCCTATATTGGGCCAAGCCCACAAATTTACATACCAGTGGGCCTAGTGGGCTCCATGGTATAAAAATCGAAATGGGCCAAGCCCATAATTCATGTTTCTTCTCGTGGTGGAGAGGGATCGATGAGATGCGAAATCTCTGATGGTGGCCGCGGCGGTGTGCAAGAGATCCGGTCGATATTCACGGTGGAGCTTGCTCAGCCAATCATCGGAGCTTCTGTTGAAGCGCTTCTCCCACGAGAGTCGCTACCATTGGTTCTTTTCCGGTGACGTAGATTTCACCGCGCCAAAGGAAAGCCTGTGGAGAGAATGGTGGGTCATCAACGACACAATCTCTCGCCATCGACGGAGCAGTAATTGAAGCCGTGGACGGGAAGCTTAGGGTTTGATTGCTAAGGAGTGACTTGGTCAGATCTGGATGCATCCGACGATACAAGGTGAGGTCAGATCTCTCGAAGTTCTCGTGGGACTCCAAGGTCTCACCGGAAACTATGGAGGGCGACGGAGAGTGACGGAGGTTGCCAAGGCATAGTTTGCCGGAAGGTCTCGTCGCAAGTAGTGATGGCCGACGGAAGTTACAAGAAGGATAGAGCCCATCGCCAGTTGGTGAAAGGCTCCTTGAAAACATCGCCTAAGAGCATTTTTAGGGCGAACAACCGCGTCCATTTTTATTTATCTTATTTTCTTCCCCAAAAGTGTTATTTAAATAATTAATTAACCCTTCGTTAATCTATTCTTTTCATTTAATTCCAAGATAAAATTAGAAGAATACATTTATAATAGTTTATTGTAATACTAATATATTATGTATGATATCAAGCAAATTAATTTATTAAATTATTGAATCAAATTGAAAGATTGATCTCTAAAGATTTCATACGAGACTCAATACAAAACACATATAGTGAAGTATAAAATCAAAATTTATACTTACATCATTTTCAAGTTTTCATATTGTTTAGTGTTACACAAAGTTTTAACC